ACGCACGCACGCACGCCACGCCACGCACGCTACGCACGCACGAACGCAGCGCAACGCACGGCACGCACGCACGCACGCACGCACGGCACGCACGCACGCACACACACACACACACACACACACACACATCACACACACACACACACACACCACACAACACACACACCACACACACGACACACACCACACAGCACACTACACACCACACACACACAACACATCACACACAGCACACACACACAACCCCACACACAACACCACACACTTCTCTCGTCTCTCTCTCTTCTCCTCTCTCTCTCTCTCTCCTCTCTTTGTCTGTCTACTATCTGTCTGGTCTCTCTCTCTCTCTGTCTTCTTCTCTCTCTCTTCTCTCTTCTCTTCCTCTCTCTCTCTGTCTCTCTCCTCTCTTCTCTCTCTCTCTCTCTCTCTCTCTCTCTCTCTCTCTCTCTCTGTTTCTCTCTCTCTCTCTCTCTCTCTCTCTCTCTCTCTCTCTCTCTCTCTCTCTCTCTCTCTCTCTCTCTCTCTCTCTCTCTCTCTCTCCTCTCTTCTGCTCATCTCTCTCTCTCTCTCTTCTCTCTCTCTCTCTCTCTTCTCCTCCTCTCTCCTCTCCTCCTCTCTTCTCACTCTCTCTCTCTCTCTCTCTCTCTCTTTCTCACGTATACATACTGACGAATGGAAAATTAATACAAGCTGAGGTATCTTTTAGGTACCTGTAAATATAATTCGCGATTTTAAAATCCTAGTTAACAACTCCACCGTCTTTTTCTTATTGATGACGGTGTCCCATACTATAAATTGCCGACAGAATATAGAAGATAATATTTCCATTTTACTCCTTACACTCTCTTTCTCTCTTCGGGTTCTCCACTTTATGTCGTATTATTATTAATTATTATTATCATTATTATCATATTATTTTTATTTATTATTATTATTCATTATTTATTATTAACATAATAATAATTATTATTATTAGAGAAAAGGTAAATTTCAGATTGGGATAAATGAAAGTGCTGCTACCTGTCTCTTATGTACCTTAGGTTAGCTATTCAACTTAATACACGTAATATTAACAAAGAAGAAATATACTTGCTAACGCCGTTGTACGATAAAAAAAATACCTAGAAGTTATTGGAAGGAATAAACTCGTTTGATCTAATAACCGTTTATTTCGCACGAACGTTGTCACTAGTTTTCGTGTCCACTGTGCCACGTGTTTTCCGATGAGATAAAAGTCACGATTCTTTATTTTTGGAATTCATGGCGAACAGAATTCAACGGGAACAACGAACGGGAAGAACAGAAAACACACGATATGCGAAGCCCTTTTTCGCTTTACTTCGAGGGCATTAGCGGAAAGGCCACTGGCATATTCGTGTGTTTCTGTTCTTTCTTCGTTTGTTCCTTCTTGCAACGTTCTTTATCACTCATAGAATGACGGGTCCCGTATTCGGTATCATCAATTCTAATTATGGGGGTATACGAATGACGTTTGTTTTTAATCTATTCCATTTGTTTGATATCATTTTCTATCTGTTTATTGTTTTGTGCCATTCATTATCTACTTTAGGTTTGTATTTTTTTTTTTTTAACAATTTTATAAATTTTATACTTATCCAGTTCATTAATTCGTGTCTATAATGATCTCTGTTGGTTTATTGACTTAGTTTATTTATTCGTTTATCAATTAGATGTAAACTCTATTCTATTCCTTTCATTTAATGATATTCAAAATTCATTCTTTACCTTTTTTACATCCTTGTAGATGATATTATTATTTATTATTATTTTAGATCAACTCTTCCTAATCCGACAAACTCACACAATTGTACCCCATGGGCAGTCCGGCAAATTAGGCTGGGGATTATCCCGGCGGGCGCATCCTTGAAGGAGGCGGAACGGATAGAGGCCAAGCGCTCCTGGTCCCACGCGATTCCGAGGTGGTGGTGTGGGCGGTGAGTGGATGGTGGCCGGGTGGGTGGGGTAGGGGTGGGGGGTGCGGTGGGGTGGGGCTGGTATCCTGTCCGTGGGTGGGAGGCTGGTTGGGGGTGGAGTGTGGTATGGAAAGTTGGAGTGGGTAGTGGGGTGTGGGTGGGTGCGGCTGCATTTTAGACTGGAAGGGGTGGCTGGGGAGGTGGGCGGGAGTGTCGTTGGTTGAGTGGAGGATGGCTGGTGGGGGAGTTGTGGGGGTGAGCAGTGGAAGTGGGGGTGGGGGTGGGGTGGTGGATGGGCTGGGTGGTGGGCGGGGGTGGAGGGTGCAAAGGGCGCGAGGGGGGGTGGGCGGGGATGGAGGGTGGAGTGGCATAGTGTGGTGGACGGTGGGTTGGAGTGGCCTCTGTTGGTGGGTTGGGGGGTGGTATGGTCAATGGGGGGGTGGAGGGCGCGCAGGGGTCCCTGCGTTCCTTTAGCATCTCGCTGGCTCGCTATCGGTGGGCGCTCTCTGGGGGTCTCGGGGTCTCTCGGGGCTCTCTCTCTGGTGATACCCGGATCGTTGGTTCCTTCGCTTTGTTTGTCTCTGTTTATTTCGGTCTGTCTGTCTGTCTCTTTCTCTGTCTATTTTCTATTTGTTTCTGTCATTTTCTCGCGCTCTGTCTCTTTTCACGTTCTCTCTCTCTCTCTTTCCTCTTTCTTTCTTCTCTTCTCTCTGTCTGTCTCTCTCTCTCTCGCTCTCTCTTCTCTCCTCTCTCTCTCTCTCTTCTCTCTCTCTCTCTCTCTCTCTCTCTCTCTCTCTCTCTCTCTCTCTCTCTCTCTCTCTTCTCTCTCTCTCTCTCTCTCTCTCTCTCTCTCTCTCTCTCTCTCTCTCTTCTCTCTCCTCTCCTCTCTCTCTCTCTCTCTCTCCTCTCCGTCTCACTTTTCCCACTTAATCACTCTTTCACACTCTCATATATATGAATAAAAAAAAAAAAAAAAAAAAAAAAATATATATATATATATATATATATATTATATGTGTGTGTGTGTGTGTGTTGTGTGTGTTGTGTGTGTGTGTGTGTGGTGTGTGTGTGTGTGTGTGTGTGTGTGTGTATGTGTGTGTACATGTGTTGTGTGCGTATATATGTTGCATATATGAAGAATGTATAACCTCTCCGACATACCACACACACTCCTATCCCTCCTCTTCCCTCTCATCAATGTGACGTAAAATAATTGACAGGCGAACAAAGCAACCAAAGAGGCGAGACCACTTCTTTTGGTCCAGGACCTGAGCGCCCTTACACACAGTCCGTACCCCGATGGAGGACTTACGTAAGGCTTGTTGTTCGTAGTAAGTTAGGGTACAAACTCTCTGACGGAAGGTTTAAAGTTCTTCTGTTTCATTTTGTGGTTTTCCTTCGGGTTGTTTGGGATGTGTTTTTTTTTAGTTGTTTGTTGATTGGGTGGATTTGTTTCGATATTTTTTATTATATTTTTTTTTTATTTTGGGTCTTCTGTTCTCTCGATGGGGGATTCTGTTTATATTTGTTCCTTGGTTTGGGAGATGTTAGGAGGACTAGGAGAGTTGATTCGGAGGGAGAGAGAGAGAGAGAAGGATTGAGAGATGCTAGTGAGAGGTAGGGCAGACGAGAGAGATGGCGAGGAAGAGACGAGAGGAGGAGAGAGAGAGAGAGAGAGAAGCTCGCCGGCGAATGATGCAGAGAGGGAGTGAGAGAGAGAGAGACAGGCGAGAAGAGAGAGAAGAGAGGACGGAGATCCAGATCGTCGAGCAGTAAGAGAAATAGAGCCATGAGCTGCTTCTTGGCGGGTGGCTACGCGATTGGAGAAGAAGGACGGCAGGAGACGAGAGGAGAGAGACTGAGATAACCGGCGTGGTGATAAAGGTGAGGAGGACGGAGGTTAGAGAGGACTGATCGATCGTACATACCGGGCGGGTCAGGCTCTCACAGGCGCCGCCTACCACTCATGATGAGCAGACGATATTTCAACAGATCCAGACTAGGACAGGACAGGTCAGTCGATTGTGGCCGCGAGAGAGAGACAGAGTGTGTGACGAAGGAGCCGGAGAATAGCGGCAGGGGCAAGGAGCCTGTCGGGGAAAGCGCCAAGGGAAAAGAGAACAGGTAGCCCAGACAACAGCAGAAACAGAGACATGAGAGAAACAGGAAACCCCCAGGACCGGCAGCCTATTGAATAATGTGACACAACCCAACGATGTGGACAACCTAAAAAAACAAACAAACAAACAAACAAAAAGTGTCTAAAAAGTGCAACAAACAGAGAAACAGTTGCTTGGGTCGTACCCACGCTAACAGGTAAGGGGACCGTATGTATAGTTCCATCTGTATAGTGAAATATTAGGCGTTGGTTTGCGGATATTATTCATTTAGTATTTTACGTATAGGGATACATACATACGTTCATATACGTTTGTATATATCTATAATTTGGTATGTTGCGTTTACTTGCTTTTGTTTGTGTGTCTTTTTCTAATATATTATATACTCTCATACATCGAAAATACTACATATACAGTACATAAAAAAAAAAGATGATTCAGTTGTATCTACCCCCCCGCCCAACACGCAGTCGCCAACATTCTCCAGTATACACATACTAAGAATAATAAAAAAAAAAACACAATGCTTCCAGGATACATATACAATACACTTTAAGAAAAAAAATATATTATATCTAACACCTCCTATCCTTTTCTTCCCCACCCACCCCAGTCCCCGATCCGACCCCAGTATACATATATCAAACATTAAAAAATGAGAAAAAAAAAAAACATTGCTTCCAGGAGGATATACAATACAAAAAAAAAAAAAAAAAAAAAAAAAAAAAAAATTTTGTATCTAACTCTCCCTTTTCTTTTCTCTCCCCCCCGGTCGCCGATCGACCCCAGTATACATATATACCAAGCATAAAAAAAAAAAAGGAAAAAAACAATGCTTCCGGAATACATATACAATACACTTAAAAATAAATAAATAAATAAATAAAATAAATAAATAAATCTGTTGTATCTAACCCTCCCTTTTCTCTTCTTCCCCCCCCCCCAGTCGCCGATCGACCCCCGCTGCGCCGCCCCCTTCGGCAACTTCCCCGACGCAACGACATGTGAGCGCTATGTGTCCTGTTGGGGCGGCCGGGGGTTCTCCCAGCGCTGCGGCACCAACCTCGTGTTCAACCCCGTGTCCAGGTCGTGTCAGGCGGGGACCTCATGCCCAGGTGAGTGCTTGTGTTGGGGTATTTGTTTGTCTGTCTCTAGCTCTCTTTCTTTCTTACTTACTCTTTCTTTCTTTATTTATTATTTCGCTGTTTCTTTCTTCGCTTTCTCTCTCTCTTCTCTCTCTCTCTCTCTCTCTCTCTCTCTCTCTCTCTCTCTCTCTCTCTCTCTCTCTCTCTCTCTCTCTCTCTCTCTCTCTCTTCTCTCTCTCTCTCTCTCTCTCTCTCTCTCTCTCTCTCTCTCTCTCTCTCTCTCTCTCTCTCTCTCTCTCTCTCCTTCTCTCTTCTCTCTTCTTCTCTCTCTCTCTCTCTCTCTCTCTCTCTTTGTTTCTTTTCCCTTGTTTTTGTTTTCGTATTATTAGTTGTGTCTAGGTTAGTTGGATTCTTTGATTTTCCTTTTTTTCTCTTTCTTTTTTATTACTTTTTATGACTTGACTGATTAAATCTAAAAGGAAAAGAAAATCTGTCGCTTTAATTTTCAACAATAGGTTCTTCTATTATATAAGAGACGAGGGTAAAATGAGACTGCAAGATGCACTTTAATTTCAAGTTCAAAATAAGGAAAACAGGGAAAAAGTCGTTTTGCCTATGAATGAAAAAAATGGTGGAATTTCTCCCAGGACTGACTTTATCCCATTTTTTCTTTTTTTCTTTTTTTTTTATATAAGGACGATAGATTTACTCGGGGCTGAATTGGCATACATTTCCTAATCTTATTTCCATTTCATTCAACCCGCTTTTCCTCTCTATTCGAACACTCCGGTTCTCAAATGGAACCAAGGTGAACCAGGGTACGAAATTAAACAAACTTAATACTTATAAACTTATATATGTATCAGCCATATTAAGAAGTTATTGAAACCCAGTTTTCTTGCTTGCCATTTCCACGTGTTTACATGCATCAGGCTTCTTCACATTCCTCCATAAGATGATAGATAGGTAAATAGGTAAATAGATAAACAAATAAATAAAAGTCGAGACCGATTGGATGAGGAAACCAGATGAAAGATAAGCAATGCCAGTGACTTAATAAAAAAAAGTTGTTTCCATTCATTCCATTTCTATATGATAAAACATTCAATAAGAACTTGCAGACATTAGAATAAAAAGAGAGTACAAAACATTCATTTCTCCTTAATTTCTTTTTGATATATGATTTTTCACGAAGAGTTTGAACGAGAACAGTAAAGGGTAACCGAGAATGACGAGATTACATTAACAGAAATCAAAGTTAAAAAAGTATGAGAAACACTGTTCTGATTATATGAATGACACGCAAAACGTAACCCAAAGTAAACTCACAAAGTCCTTGGAATATTTCACAGCTCAAAAAACGTATACTTCACTCTAAGACTCGCTGCTCTCCAGAATATACAAGATAAAGCTACGATAAAACTATCATTGTAATTTTACAGACTGCAAGCACCGTTACATAAACCGGAGATGCCCTTCCCACCCCTTTCGTCAGCTGATTGTGTAAACAAGGTCCTCGAGTATCACGCTTTAGAACTGTTTCGTCCGCACACGAACTCGCAATCACATACGGGTAGTTACAGCTAACAAGCCCTTCGTGTGTCATGCATAGACCTAAGACCTAAGCAGAGGAACGAAGGACAACGCAAAAAAAAAGGGGCGGAGTTTAATTACGTCATCAAGGCTTCCTAATTGCCATGACGAGACAAAAGACGGCGTTTTGGAGCGAGCAAGATCAGGAAATCCCGCTAATTGGAAACCACTAATGACGTGTTGCTCATCGACGCCAATTCACACAGGCGAATCCTCCCCCTTCCCCCCTCTCCCTCTCCCTCTCCCTCTCCCTCTCCCTCTCCCTCTCCCTCTCCCTTCTCCCTCTCCTCTCCCTCTCCCTCTCCCTCTCCTCCCTTCTCCCCTCTCCCTCTCCCTTCCCTCTCCCTCTCCCTCTCCCTCTCCCTCCCTCTCCTCTCCCTCTCCCTCCCTCTCCCCTTTCCCACCCTCCCATCATCTCCACCACCACCACCATCGCCATTATCACCATCTCCCAGGCAGGATATAACCATTATTTTCAGCCTTTGCAAACGAGTCACGAAGAGAGGCTGTAAAAACCGTTTTGAAGAGTGCGTCTGGCGTCCTTGCGTGCTTTGAGGGTTGGGCGATCAAAGACACTGGGGGGCTTCGAGATAGCTAGACTACATAAAGATAGCCTGTTTGGGCAGTTGGGTCGTTCAGAGTGTTTGGGGGGAATTCGGGGGGCTTATTCGTTCGATTTGGCAATGTATAACTGAAGTGATTGTAATGTTTCCCTCTTTTCTCTCTCTCTGTCTCTGTCTCTGTCTCTGTCTCTGTCTCTGTCTCTGTCTCTGTCTCTGTCTCTGTCTCTGTCTCTGTCTCTGTCTCTGTCTCTGTCTCTGTCTGTCTCTGTCTCTGTCTCTGTCTCTGTCTCTGTCTCTGTCTGTCTGTCTCTGTCTCTGTCTGTCTGTCTCTCTCTCTCTCTCTCTCTCTCTCTCTCTCTCTCTCTCTCTCTCTCTCTCTCTCTCTCTCTCTCTCTCTCTCTCTCTCTCTCTCTCTCTCTCTCTCTCTCTCTCTCTCTCTCTCTCTCTCTCTCTCTCTCTCTCTCTCTCCCTCTCTCTCTCTCTCTCTAAAACACACACACACACAGAGTGAGAGAGAGAGAGAGAGAGAGAGAGAGAGAGAGAGAGAGAGAGAGAGAGAGAGAGAGAGAGAGAGAGAGAGAGAGAGAGAGAGACTCACACTTCACATGTTTGTGTGTATATATATGTATGCATGTATCTATATATATACGCCTTCCTACCCCAAAAATAGATACAAATTGCCCTTATTATTCCACTCTTCCTTCAATAAAAGCAGTTCATGGTCGCACTCGTAAGTTGTTCACATTTCGCAACGTAAAAATACCCGAGTTGTCTATGCAAGTTCTCGGAAAACGGAAAGAGAAGAACCGGTACTGTTTCTTGTGCGATGCGATTCGTGGGGTCCCTTTTGTGTGTGGGGGGGGGGGGGGGACTCCAGAATCGATGTTTTGTTTGAATTTGAGTCCACTGTCTGTTATGAGTGTTGCTGTTTTGTTTTTGGTATGATTATTTTATTTGTTATTGTTGTTGTCATGATTATTATTTTTATTATCATCATTCTTATCATTTTCATCATCGTTATCATCATCATCGTCATCCTTATCATCACTATCATCACCATCATTATCATCACCACCATCATTATATCATCATCACCACTATCATTATCATCATCAACACTATCACTACCATCATATCATGGCCACAACCATCACCATCATCACCACCGCCACAACCACCACTAACAACACCATCACCACCACCATCTCATCACCATCACCACCATTTCCAACACCACAACCAGAACAACAGACACGTATCCCCTCACCATCTCGAACCACTTAAAGCGTAGAACAGGTTTTCTTGTTCTTCTTTATCTGAGAATAATTGGAATTAGCCTCAACCATTTGAACTCCAGCTTATAACAAGTTAATGATAATCATCTCAACTCGATTCCATTTAGTCATTTATAATTAGCCAATTAATTTGTTAGACCGAGGATTTTTTAAATAAATATGGAAAAATATGAAGATGTTGTTCATAGTCTATCGTCAAGCTTATGTAATACTTAATACTGTTCACTGTTATATATATAACTCTCTCTCTCTCTCTCTCTCTCTCTCTCTCTCTCTCTCTCTTTTTTTTTTTTTTTTTTTTTTTTTTTGCTATGTGGGTAATCATTAATCATTTCATAAATAAATTTATTTAAAACTTCATATAGGAGATTTATGTTGTTATTGTTATTTGTTTTCTTATTTTTGTTATTGTATTTTCGTTGTCTTATTTTTTTTTCGTTACTGATGTTCTTTTGTTTTTGTTTTTGACCTTTTTGTTCTTTTGTTTTGTGTTATTGTTTTTTGTTATTATTATTTTTAGTTGTCTTGTTCTCTTTAAATTTTGCTATTAATGTTCTTTTGTTGTTGTTTCTTGTTTATTCATTACATGTAAAGATTATCGTAGACTACAACACACACACATCACACGGTACAAGACGTATGTAATACACAGAAGACACATAACGAAGTATTTCCACCCAGATCTCGTATTTGGAGAGATGAAGAACGATATTAATAGAATGAAAAGGACTTTATATCATATTATGTACAGAATGATTTTAAGTGCAAATTATACAAAGAAAACGTATTATAATGCATTAGTTGAGTGTGAGTAAAAATAACATACACACGGAAGTATTATTGATAATACTGTTTTGATTTTCTTGTATGGTAATTTTAAAGAAGTTATACAACATCCATGAAAAAATCAATTAAGGTATGATTACAGATCTGTAAGTTTTAAAAGACACTATATATTATATATAAATATGTCATTAAACTTATAATTTCACATTTGGATGATTTTAACGGAAAACTAAACAGTACATACGTATAATTTCATGTTTGGTGGACTTGATAAACACGACCACACAAATATAATTACCTCCCCCTCATAAATAAATGACACCATACATACATACATACATACATACATACATACATACATACATACATACATACATACATACATACATACATACATACATACATACATACATACATACATACATAAATGAATAAATAAATAAATAAAATAAATAAATAAATAAATAAATAAATAAATAAATAAATAAATAAATAAATAAATAAATAAATAAATAAATAAATAAATAAAAAATTAAATAGTAATAATACCGTATCCCCGCATTGCATCCCAATCTTCATACCTTGCAATTATTGAGTGCCATACGATGCAACATCAGGAAGAGACGAGAGCCATCTCTTCTTGCACCTTGATCAGTGAGGAAGACTTAATTGCAGGATAATGATGATGAGTACACACGGAGGGGGGAGGGAGGGGAATAGAGGGGAGGAGGGGTAGGGGAATAGGGGGAGGAGGGGGAATAGGGGAGGAGGGGAGTAGGGGGGAGGGAGAAGG